TATTTGATAGTGTCCACTATTAGATGGTGCAGAGTAAATAACACAGTACATAGTAGGACATGATATTGTATTAAACATTTCAGGGAAAAGGTACAGTATAGCCTAGTACTTCAGACTTTCTCAGTAAAATATCAATCTCAGTTAACACTGTGCCGTAATGCCTGCACAGGCAGAGACATAATTGCACATTCAAACTTAACTTTCTTATCTTCTGGCTTCCAAGCACGTAATAAGATACCGTAAACATTTTCTTGCTGTGGTTTTCTTTTCTAAATTCCATACAATATATTAAACACAGGCTCTTTCATTTACTAAAACTACATGCTTTACCCTAAACTTCTGCAAATTGCTTCCATTTTTTAAAAAGCAGTGTCCTAGATGAATTCTCTAACTCTGAAGTTGTGTTTACAGCTTGTGATTAGCATTGTGGTTACTGTATGCGGTAATTATGTGTAACCCTTGATAAGAAGGAACTCACCCTATGGATCTGGGTCACTAAACCTTAATACTAGATAACAATTTGGGGGCTTTAAGGCAACCAAGTTGAATTCCAGTGCTGACCATTTCTGTAATACTCCAGTCTCTAGATAAGGCGTACAAATACTACTCAGAGCAGAAAATCCCATTCCCCAAAATTTCTTTGACTGATGAAGATAAGAAAAACCTGAAGGAGTGCTACCTCTTCCAAGATTCAGATTTGCCAGGATGTCCGATCGTGATTTTTCTTCCCCTTGTGAATGATACCTTCCGAGAGTACAAAGCACCTGGTAAGTTACAAGTAGTGGCAAAGCATTAAACAAAAGACACCACTACCTGCTTCCCTGACTCAGACAGAGCCTTCTTCTCTGCTGCTGGCTATCTTTGCTGGCTGGGTTCATGGGGGAGCACTTTAGCTAATTAAACTTGTTTTCCCCATCCCTGCCAAAGCTACTGTGTTCATTCATGTCATCCTTGTGGCCCTAAGAGGACAGCCACAGCCCTTGTCTTCTGGATGGTGTTTACCTTCATCTCTCTCCCATCTGTAACATAAAGTGTTGCGAGCTAATTGTAAAAGTTTTTTCCTGGGAAAAGCATAGCTCTCACAGATTATTTTCCCCTGCATATATTGTCTGTTGTCCAGGGATTTCGTTCTACGCTTGAGGAGGCACAGTGTCATGTATGAATCCTGGGGGAGCAAGAACCTGGCTTTCAGGCTGAACTCCTGCAATGTCAAGATCAGTGTGTCTCCTTTTGGTACAGCATCAGCCCAGGGGTCATTTTGCTCACTGTGCTGTGCTCGGGGCCTGTCATTCTTTTTCTGCCAGGCCACCTGCTTTGTATTCCTTTCCTTTACTGCCAGTTAATAGGATGCATTTGCTTTGCTCCTTGGTAGCAGGGACGTAAAGTCTAAAATTCTGCTTTTGTGGAATTTGGGAGACACAAGAAATGGAAAGGCAGAGATGGATCCTGGTGGCAGGCCCCCTGAGACTGCATTCAGGATTGCAGGAACTTTAAGTTTCCGTATGTTTCTATTATTCCTTTCTCACTTAAATTCTATTCTGTTACTAGCAACTCCTCTCCGTCAGCCGGGGTTCACAGAGGTCCCAGCTGCTCAGGATAAGACCTGCAGTGCACCGGCAGTGGCTATTGGAGTGCCCTTTCAGGCTGATATCCTTGACTGATCCATGGCTTTAATGAGACAGATGTTTATGAGTAAGCTGTAGATGACCATTACAATGCCGTCCCTCACTTCTCCCTTGTGTCCTCATCACTTCAGACACATGACATCCTTTTGACTAGGGGTGGGGATACATGACCTGCATTATTTGTGCATTTAAACCCTATGAATTTTCTTCCAGAGAAAAGCCCCCCTCTTTGGGCTGCTGTGGATAGCTTGTCACTGACTGAGATAAACACCATGTCACAGCAGCAATTTCTCTTTCTCTCCAGGTGTCAAGCGCTGCTGCTCAGAGATGGAGGGAGGACAACTTGATTTGACCAGTCGCTTTTCCCCCTACTGCATGTTCTCGGTCAGGTATACGGATGAGAATTACCGCCGGCTGCTAAACCTCAGTGAATACAACGTCCTGAACAACTCACAGATGATTATGCAAGCCTTGCAGATAGCGATGCAAAGGAGAAGGCAAAACATGTGCTAATCACCCGTCCAACTGCCCCTATCTTCTCAGAGGAGTTTTTCATGCTCTAGGACACAGAAGGGACATCATAGCTTTTTGAACACTGGCTGTTCTGCACTACAGAAAGGAACTACCCCAGGTGGCTCAGTGGTTTGTTGTTTTTTTTTCCATTCCCAAGAAGTGGCCTCTATAGGCAAAGACATTGCCTGGGAAATTTTTATATTTGCTTTGTTCCCTAAATTAAGGTTGTCTGTAGAACACTCTTTACCTAAAATCCTTGTTAGATTTTAAAAATAGTGTTATTTTAAGCCTAACTTATTATAATGTATGACATAGAGGAAAATAATTTTTTACCACCACAGTGCTGCAGTAATACAACCCAGCCAACATACCTACAGGCCGTAAGAAGGGGATATAAATTTTCTGCTCCCCACAATTCTTCTTCGTGGAACACAAGGTGCAAACCCTGGAAAATTAAGAAAGCCTGAGACACGACTGGAAGCTGGCATTGGATCCCTGGGTCAACTCTGTTTTGCAAGTCTCCTAAAGAACAGCTGCAGAGGTTGGAAACGTAAGAAAGAGGGACAAGTGTGTGCACACAGTCAGCCCCATGAATCGCGTCCACCTCCTGGGCTCTCTTGGGCTGTGAATGAATCATACGTAGATGGGAAGGAGCAACTTAGGAGGAAGTGGCGTAAGATTTTTCACGTAAAAAAATTTTAAAGTGAAAGGTGTAATTTGGGCACATCAAAATTTCCTGTGAATTTATGTCAGTTTTGATTGTTTTGTGTTGAGACAGTATATAAAAAAGTTAACATTTTATTTTGAAGCTTTCAAAATAAAACACCCTGGAATTTTTTTTCCCAGTTGAGTTACTTCTCATATTAAACTTCCTTTCTTAAATTAAAAAGAAAAAGTGCTTGAAATGAAAATATTTTACTTCCACTAGACAATGAAAACTATGTTGTTTTACTCAATGCAATTTTTTTAAACAGTCTAGGACATATGCTCCTCAACAAAATTGCTTATTTGTTTAGTTCTGCCTGTTCAAACTGTGCAGATAAGCAGGAGTGAGTTAGTAGTCTCCAACAAATAAGACCATCTTAAAACAATCTGAACAGACCGTCCATGGGATCTAGCACAAAAATACCAATAACATTTGTTGTGGGTTTGCATTTTTAAACTTTCTTCATTTTCCCTTTTATGGAAAGTGTCTTTTCTGAACTGTTGAAAGTGCTGAGGGTGACCTGTAAAAATTATAAATCCATAACAACCTTTGCATTCCAGGAGCAAGTCAAATTGAAAATACATTTTTTTATTAATAAGTTTTGTGTCCTAATGACAACTGGGAAAATTTTGAACAAATAGTCTATTCAGTGAAAAAAATCTATCAACTAGATGTGATAATCTGGGGCTAAAATAAACCATGGAACATTCTTGGTTAAGTTGAAACATTTCATGTTAATATTTTACAAAACATCTTTGTTTTGAAACATAACTTCTTTTTAATAGACCGCCTACCTCGTCAGCCCAGGGAACCCAACCTGAAAATAACAGGTTTTATTTACAGTCAAATAACATGTTTGGCTTGGTGCAAAATGACACTCTGAGGATTTTCATTTTGGCAAGAAACAATGACAAATTATCTTTACAAATTGATTCACAATGACTTTTGCCGACACTTTTATCATTTATGATGTCAAACCAAACCTTACTTTTCTGTGCAACTGTAGCCTAATGTTGCAAGCCTAAAGATCAGAGCATAAGTATTAACATTTGAAACTCTTTAGGTTCTGAATGAGTATGCACTTCTGCTGGGTTTTTTTGTTCTATGGTAGTTTCACTAGTCATATTCAGAAATACGGTGCTATGTGCTCTGCATATAACCCTGGGAATCGCCTCCATTTGAACCTGAAATCCCTGGTGAGAAAGAATAAACACAGTTTTTGGCCATAAACTCATGCCACCTCCAGCTCTGAAGAAATGTTATTTACATGCAAATATTTCAGGTATACAATACCGGACAATAAAGGCTTGTTTGCAAAATGAAAATTCTGCCTTGCTCCACTTATTCAGGCATTTCAGTAATATGCACCAGGTTGACAGTGTGTTCCTTGTTCCAGGAAAACAAAACTGTTGTTACCTCTGCAAAGAGCATAAGAGCATACCAAATATTTGCTGTGAGCATCGTGGATAAAGGAATGTCTCAGAGACAGATTGCAGGGGTACAAAGCGAGCCACAGTCCCTCCCTCCCACAAGGGCTGTCTCTGATGTGGATTGCAAATGTTATTTGTGAAAACGAGAGCTTTTTGGCCACTGACACTGTGGCAGCAACAGTCTCAGAGCCCCAGTCCTGATGGACAGTCTGGTTTATAGCTTAACCCTCCAAGGAGATGTTGTAATAAAGCACTTGCCAAGAGTTTTCTGTGACCTAATGAAAAATGCATTTCACCAAGCTACATCATTGCAGCTGGCACACAGAGGAAACATGCCATGTATGTAGACACAACCCTTCACGGTGTTGTGAAATAACATAGCCTATGGCAAACATTTATTCTACCAAGCTGACCGTGATGTCTGTTGTTATTATTTTGCATGGGAATGAGCAAAAGGGAACTGTGCTGGCTGGTGGCAACATTTAACCAGTAAGCTCAAGAATGCTCAGGGAATGGGTAACATTTGCTCATAGACAATGCACCAAGAGAGCAGGGAAGCCAAAGGATTCCCTTCCCCCAGAGGTTTTGATCTGTTATGACCTGTTGAAGATACAACAGTCTTTGGCTGCCCTTTTTAATCCTGTTCCAGTGAGCTGGGAGCCGTGCCGGTTTCGATGGCATAGGGGTCAGCTGGGTGCTCACAGGGGCAGGCACAGGTGTCCTGCCATGGCGGTGGCTTTGCAGGTGTGCTGAGAATGGTGCAGAGGGCAGTATTGAGTTTTGCCTCTGGCTGGCAGGGTTCACTGAGTCAGACACAGGCACTTAAATGCAGCTAGATTACAGCCAGAGTCAGTCTGAGCTGGAAAGTGGTGCAGAAGTATTTACAGGGGGTGGAGCTAAGCTAAGGAAAGTCATTGCTTCAGGACTCTTCGTCTAAACAAAAATAATAATAAAGAGCCATAGGAAAGAAGGGGGAAAGAATACAACAACTTGAGGATAGACCCAGCCCTGCTGGACCAAGGCTGAGTAGATATAAACCACCATATGAGTGTGTCTGCTCTGCACACCTAGACCTGGGATTGCAGGGTCATCTGTGGTACAGAAAGCCTTAGACTGGTTTTAGCAAGAACCAATTTATTCTGAGAGCAATAGTGTTGTCCCTCTTTTTTCATTTAACCACAACAAGCTGTTTTATCCTATCTGCTTACTGTCACAGATCCCCATGGTTTTGGCTGGGACAGAGTTAATTTTCTTCCTAGTAGCTGGTATAGTGCTGTGTTTTGGATTTATCGTGAGAATAATGTGATAACACACTGATGTTTTAGTTGTTGCTAAGCAGTGTTTATACTAAGTCAAGGACTTTTCAGCTTCGCATACTCTGCCAGCGAGGAGGTGCACAAGAAGCTGGGAGGGGGCACAGCCAGGACAGCTGACCCAAACTGGCCAAAGGGATATTCCATACCATGTGATGTCATGCTCAGCATATAAAGCTGGGGGAAGAAGAAGGAAGGGGGGGACGTTTGGAGTGATGGCGTTTGTCTTCCCAAGTAACCGTTAGGCGTGACGGAGCCCTGCTTTCCTGGGGATGGCTGAACACCTGCCTGCCCATGGGAAGTAGTGAATGAATTCCTTGTTTTGCTTTGCTGGCATGCACGGCTTTTGCTTTCCCTGTTAAACTGTCTTTATCTCAACCCATGAGTTTTCTCACTTTTACCCTTCTGATTCTCTCCCCCAGCCCACCGCGGGGGCGAGTGAGCAAGCAGCTGTGTGGTGCCTAGTTGCCGGCTGGGGTTAAACCACGGCAATAACCTAAATCCAATTAATGTACTGTTGCTGCATGTTTTTGCAGAGTATTTCTGTAGGCTTTGAGGTCTTGCTAAGTGGAAAGTTCAGTGCCCAGATAAAAGGGCATCCTTCTCTTACTATTAGTTATAAACCTGCCATTGGCTAGTATTGGGCAAAGTGACTCAAACAGCATACTTCCACCTACTGTACAGGCAAAGGTATTTTTTCCTGCTTATTCGACCACAGGATTCAGCTTCCTAGCATAAGAAAATGGGAGGGGAATAACTGGGTTTGAGAAATCAGGCAGAGGTGGGGCTCTGAGTCAGTTTATAAAATAGTTGTTCACCTGCATATGAGACATTTAAACTATTGGTGTCTGTGGAAGCTGGGAGATATGAAATTGCATTGCCACAGATAACACTGGATGTGTACGTGACAGTGACCACAATGGAGCAAGATTGCATTTTGTCTCAGGTAAGAAGGGTGCAGAGTAAAGCAAGGCATCTGGGATCTCAGCTGGTTATGCTGCGTATAGTGCAAAGATGGTACTACTTTCTTGACCTACCATTGACTACGAATGACTGTGCAGGATGAAAAAAGTCAGTGCTTCAAGAACTCATTATCAACATTTAAAAAATGATAGCAAACTGTAGGAAGGAAGTGAAAACTACTTGGGGAGTAAGAGTTTATTTACAAAGGGAGCATTTTGTATATTGAGGGGTTTTCTTCATTTTAGAGACATGACATATACAACCTTAGAATAAATATTAAATAGCATGGAGATATGCTTCAAGGTGAAAGATTAATGAGAGGGTGTATTTATGGGAGACAGGTTTGCTGTTCCTTTAACAGCCAGGGTCAGGAGCTGCCTTTCCTTCCCTGTGTGTCATGCAAAGGGTGGACCTTACCTGGCTGCTAAACCTCCGCTCAGGCTTACTGGGGGAAGCACGGTGCAGGCAGTGGCACCGGGCACAGCAGGAAACACCTGTACCTGCCGAGGCTCTACAGCCAGCACTGGCCATGGGATCCCCTTCACTGCTGTTCTGCGGTTCTCAATTCCTGATGAGGATTGCTTTTAAGAGACAGGATGGTTTTTCCAGGGGTAATGTTGGCCCTTCTTGTTGCAGGAGCTGATCACTCAAACCGCTCGGCTAGGAGAAGGAATTATGCAGCTGAATCCTCATGGGGAACAGTGGACTCCTGTTATAAAGGTACTGCAAAGGAGAATTTAAAAAGAAAACTAAAAGAGACTTTCCTGCTGGGTGGAGCCTAGGTGAGAACAGATAGGGTTCAGCATCTGCCAAACAGTCTAATTAGCTACGATAACCCATCCAGCTCCCTCTGTGAAACACTGTCCCGCTTATCATTTTGATCACTTCACTTACGCAGTCTTGCTTCATGTTAAAGTCCTAGTGCTGTTTTCTATCCTTGGCACATGAGAAATGAACACTGTTTTAACAAGATGTATCTTTAAAAGAATGGGTTTGAATAGGCTTTCTGCTAAATATGTCTTGCTAAAGCACAAGGGCAAATTTACTGCCAGTGTAGGTAGTAAGAGCTGTGAAATTGTGCCACTTACTCCCACAAAGAGTATGGCATAATCTTGAAGTGCATTTTCAACACCTGATTTCCTGGATTAATCATTCTTCTGGCTTCTACAAAAAAATAATAGTTTTCCAGGAGACTTCAGACATGTTATAGTAAATCTTTCCTCTAGGAAATGAGAGGACCAGATGTGCTGAAAAAGATTTTTTAACCTTCTTCTCTCTAGTTTAAGGCTATTTAGTAATAATTAGGAACTCTCCCTTGCTCTGTTTCAAGCTGAGTTAAGTTGCTGTGCAACGTGTTGTGCTTACAGTTTAAGGAATAGCCTACCCTTTCTGTTGATTAGTTGAATGGAAAACCCAAAGATGAGAAATATGCCCTAAAACGCAACTCTCTATGCTGCAGGGACCATGGCAGGTTCAGAAGAACAAACCAAACTTCTCAAAATTTTTAGGCAAAACTCACACCACTGACGGGATTTTGGCCGTTTGTTATTTATACCTCTGTGATGTCTAAGCCAAGGCTCCCTGGTTACTACAGGGCACATCCACATGTCTGAATACTTTGTTCAATCTTCACTCCCTCTCTGGTGCTTTGGGATCACCACAAGCCACCATGGTGGCTCCAGGGGATCTGATCCCTGAAACTGAGTTGAGCCTTTCCAGGAAAGTGCCTTCTCCAAAGCCAGCCACTGGCAGCACCAGTTACTGGCTCTGTAATTACTGAACGCTTTCCACCTGTACCTGCCTTACTTCTGTGCCTTAGGAGTTAGTTTTTAGACGTGAATACAAGTGCCTTTGATGGTCTTATCCACAGCTACTCTTTGGAGTCTTAGCAGTGGTTTGACATCCTTGATGTGAACACCCGGTCACCTGCTGTGCAGCTGAACAGCACGAATGTCGTTGGTGCCTTTTCCTAGGGTGGGGTGCTTTGGTTTCCTGGAGGCTAATTTTACCTGTTTCTTCATTAGCCTACTTGCTAGAACAGCACGAATGTCGTTGGTGCCTTTTCCTAGGGTGGGGTGCTTTGGTTTCCTGGAGGCTGTTTCTTCATTAGCTTACTTGCTAACTGCCCCCAATCTCAACAACATATATTCATTAGCCTTGGCTGCATGCATTAATACACCCAGGTTAAACATTCTGAGAGACATCACATAGACATATATTCCATTGAACCTATGAATACTAATGTACTTCATTTTTTATGCACGGTAAGCATGGCACATTATTAACACAGTACATACCAAATTGTTTTGCTCAGACAGGCCAACTAGAGCAAAACTCCTGCTCTCCTTTCCTGCAGTGCCTGTGTCACACATCCTTCTCAGTGGGACTAATGAGGTCAGTATCATGCTAATGCCACTTCAGGACTGGCAATGGTCTTTTTATAGTCAGTACAGGTGGAGTGAGCAGGTGATGTCACTACCTGTCCATGGCCCTGTAGTTGCACTAAATGCCTTTTGCATTTTAGAACTTTTGGAGCAAAATTTTCCTGCTGATTTGTATTCCAACATATTGTGTCTTTTCCCCCTTTCATGACTGTAGAAATAAAAGGTTAGGTGGAAATGGAGATTAATGGTAATTATTTGTTTATTTTATGATAAAAGGAGAAGGGATATGGACTCACATTTGGGCTCCAACATAAGACCATAACAGCAATATGAGAGGCTAAGGAGTCAAGCATGAGGCCTTAATGTTGGAGGCATGGGCTAATGTGAAAGAGGGAAGCCAAAGGGAACAACCAAGAGTTTCTTACCAGGTGTAAAACACTGTGTTTGCACTTCTTAAGCCAAACAGTGCAAAGAAACTCCAGACACAAAGAGTTTACATGGTTTAAAACTAAAGAAAAACTTCTCACAAGAAAGTCAGAGGTGAGCTCATCTCAAGAGGGGCAGTTACATCCCTGTACGTGAAAAACACATGCATAGTGAGTAGCATGGTGGAAGTGCAAAGCAGCAATCTCTTCCTCTGACATTAACAGCAGCATGGAGATCAGAGGTCAGCATTTAACTCTGGGGAGTACTGTACGTTTAAAAGAGCAGGTATATGAGAAAATCATATCCCATAGCCCAGGAGACTGAACATGTGTAATGACTGGGTGGGAGGTGATTCCCATGATGATAATTTTATCACTTGCAAAAAGCCTAAGGCAGCTTTTCATTTTCTACCTTGCAAATTTAACAAGTACATCTTCTCCCAAGCTGAGTCTGAATCTTACCACTTTGTGTAGCTAGATTTTAGTTAGAAAGCAAATAAATTCTCTATAATAATACAAACCCACATATCATGCTATAAAAGTAGAGAAGTCTTTCCGTCTAGTACTTGATTTAGATATTAGTAGGAAAATAAATGTATTGGCCATTTCATAGTCGCATAGAAAAATACAACTAAGTTGTGCATGATTTGGGTATTTCTCTTTCTTGATCATTTCTATCCTCTAAGTATGCTATCTACCTTTAGCATTCATTCCTGTCTTTTATATGGTTTTTTTCCCCCTGCAGATAGAATCATCTCTGTGTTACTTACTGACTATAAGAGTCATAAGAGCAAGAAATATCCACCAGGCAGATGTCTGTAAGTATCTGTAGTGCTCTGTATGGTCCCCATACATGCCCTTCATGGGGTACTAGCTAGTCCTGCTCCAAGAAAAAGTGCTTTCTAGATCTTTTCCACGGATGGAGAAAGTCCTCTCACTGGCATGCTGGTTCCAGCAATGAACATAGTGTGTTGCTCTTCTTTGCATCAGCCCTGTTCTGTGCAGAGGTAACTCTATAAGGTCACAGCTGTACCTATTGCACATATTTCTCTGCATCCCCAAAGGGAGCAGGGGAAGCTCTGTAGTCTGTTGAAAGCAAGAAATGTGGAAAGATCTCCTGTGTTTTCCTCTGGAGTATATTTATGTAACAAAGAACACAAACCGGTTGGGATAATGGAGCAAATACTGAAAATGGAGTAGCCTTATCTCAAATTTAGCTTGTACTCAAAGCTTTCTCAAGGCTAAGTAATCCAAATTACCATACCCCGATTCCCTGTGTACCACCTTTCATTGTCCCGAATTATTTTATCCTGGGCTAAACTGATTGCTTGATGACATAGAAGGAGGGGAAAACCCTTTGTTTTTAATGCATTTATTATATCCCTAATCACATTTATTCAGAGAAGAATCTTTTTTCTCCATTCCTATTACCTAAATTCTAATGTTTATGTTGGACAAAGATGTCATCATGTATCATAGTGTCTCTCTTTGAAAGCAAAGCTCCATGTTGTTCAATTCATTCTTTGTTCTAGAGCAAATCCTCATTTTAGATGTGTTTGTGTTTATTAATATACAGTAAGCCAGACTGATTGCTATGTGAGGCTGTGGCTGCCAACTGCTTCAACCGACAAATTTCAGACTAAAACCATCAAGAACTCTAAAGACCCAGTCTGGAATGAAACCTTCTACTTCAGGATCCAGAGTCAGGTCAAGGTACTGAGCTGGGACTTCACTGTTAACCATGACCTAGGGAGCAACTGCCAGGTTTTATCTTTTTGTAAAGGGGACATAAGTAATTTTCTCAAGAGGCAAGGAAAGATGCAGAAAGATGTGAGAACAACACATATCCTTATGGCTGTTTTCCATACCATGAAAGACAAGTATCTCTCTCAGCCACGGGTAGAATATGACCTTTGAGATATCTCTGATTTCCTCTCATTCCTCCTCATAGGCAGATGCGTACACGGAGCTGATTTCCCCTCCACCTCCTTCCCTTCCTGCTCTTTTTCTTTACGTCCTCCCACTCCTCACAACAGCTGACTAAAACAACTGTCCCCAGGATCTCCTGCTTTGAAGGAAACCTGACACATTTCTAAAGTCCTTCCCTTCACTTCCCAGAATGTGCTGGAGCTGGCGCTCTATGATAAGGATGTGGTTACTCAAGATGACCACCTCTTCACAGTGTACTTCGATATAGCCAAACTTTCCCTGGGAGAGCAAGTCTTCATGCACTTCAAGTGCGATTCACAGGTGAGGTCTGAAATAAGAAATGGAATAGGTTGGCAAGAAAGTGTTTGTCTGCTTTTCTGTCTAAAATGTTATTTGCAAAATCTTTCTTTTTTTCCTTCTTGTGTATGGACTGCCCAGCCACATAAAAGGGAGTTGATTTTCACTCTGATGTGGGAAAGCCTCTTCATACCTGGATCTGTAGGCACACTGAAGGGTTTGGTGTTGGCCACAGAGGCTCACAAACTTCAGGTGTCTTTGCAAAATCGCCACTTTGCTGAGCCTGCCCCCATCGAGGATCAAGGAGTGTGTCCACGCCAGTACATGATGCTTTTTGTCATAACTTTTTACTTAACCTAGTAATTAGGAAGTAATAACTCTGTGGTCGGAACCAAGTGTCAAACCAGACTAGTTGCTAATTATGAACTGTGGCATGGGTGTTTAAATAAAGTGTCTAAGTCATGGCACTCAGCTTAGCAATAAGAAACATTCCTATTTTGAATGTCCAGGGAGGCTCTGAAAGTCACACATTCCACCTCCCAGTATGTTCTGTCTGTCCCTCTCCTTTTCCAGTTCCCTCCCAGTCTCTTGTGCATCTGTCATGCACCATTCAGTTGATTAATTACCTTATCTACACACACCCAAACTCCACACTGCAGTTCGTTATCTTTAAATGCCTTATTTGACCATTTTTTTCTCTGCAAAATACCAGAGGAGCAGTGTGTGGACTTCCACTAACCCCTGGTAAAATAGAAACATTCGGCTAGTTGTACCCCAGCTCATTACTGTGGGTGGTTACAAGTGCCATATCCAGGCCTTTCGATACTGCATTTGCACAGCTACAGTAGTTAGAGCTCATACTCTACAGGCCTTCGTAAATTTTTTTTGTCCTATATTAATAACTTTTTGGTGTCTTTAATGCAATAGGTAATTTGAGCAACTAAGTAACCCACAGCATGATCTCACTTCTCTGTTCATCATCGCTTCTGTCCCCACCTTTGTTTTCCTCTCTCCTGTGCTTTCTTCCTCCTAGGGATTATACTCTTCTCCACCACCCCACAGACCAGGCCTTATTGTCAGATTTACCTCTGCCCCAATGCCCTCAACACGTTGCCAAACAAAGTGGTTGTCCTCTTCCACAGCTGCTTTGCATGTCACCATTTTCCCTTCCTTACACCAGAAGGCTTCGGCTGCTCCCCTCAGCAGACCCTCTTTCTCTTTGCTGGCAGACTTGGTATGAAACAGCATCTCCGCCTGGGTCTGTCCCTTGTGTCCCAGCAGAAGCAGGCAAGCCAACTACTTTCTTTGTTAAAAACTGCTATCACAGCCATCCAGAAACTTCCTACCAACAAAGAATCTTGAGACTCAAGACACACAGATGTGAGGTGGTGGGTGCCTCTATTTTAAATGCTCTGCCAGTCACAAATAGTGCATGCGTACCTATATTGTGAGAGTGAGAACTTGCATTATGAGAACTGCCAGTAGACTAGTGTTAAAAACATTTTCCTTTCTTTATTTTCCAGAGGCAAGAGGAGCTAGAGGTGGGATTTGCATTGGATAATATGTGAGTAAACATGAAATGCAACATAATCTGCAGCAAAAAGAAACAGCAATTCAGAGGCATGAAATAATGTAGTCTAATTGTCCAGAGAGCATCATTCCTTGATGATGCTGATGATGAACACAGTTCCCTGAGGAATCTGTGCTATGAGCTGTGTGACGAATTGGTGCGTGCCAGGATGACCTCCCATGAACTTCAGGCAGACAGGGAGAACACCCTAAAACCTCTTCTTTGCCTAGTGTAATGAATAGTATTTAAGACCAGAATACTGGGACTACCGTTCTGTTATGCGTTTGTCTTTGAGATCAGCAGGGGTGTTTGCCTCCCTTCAAAGCACAACATGGAATAACGCATTGGATTTTTGATCTAGAGCCCTTTCTGTCCCATCCTCTGAAAAACTGCAATTTTTAAAAAACTGGATTCCATGAAACGGTCTGCAGCCTGAGCTTGGGGCTCAGCATAAAATCACTACATGGTTTGGCCCCTCAGTAGCTTTTTTTTTTTTCTGAGCTCCAGGACTGGACGAGCCGGTAAGATGACGATTGTGCCTTGACGGAGTAGAGTGAGGAAACTTGTACCACGAGTCTCCCGGGACTTTTCTTTCAAATCCAATACACAGCTAAAAATAAGCAAGAGGAAAATCAGAAGGGTGTGGCTCATGAATTATACTGTAATTATACTGAGTTATTAAAAATGCATTTTTCTTTCTGTTTCCTAGTTCAGGCCCTCCTGAAACCATCATTACTAATGGAGTACTAGTGGTGAGTGTTACGTATTGTCACCTCTCTTGTCCTGTTGCCACACTTGTTTCACTTGACTCACAGTCATCAGGCCAACATACTCTTTAACTGAGCAAAGCCAGCACTGAAACACTGCGATTTCCCACTTCATCATCTGCCTCACGACATATCCTCGTGGATGGCACCCATGGAGAGGCTGCGGCTGGAACAGCAGGGAGACCCCCCATGCTAGCATCCCTCTGGTGTTGCAAAGGCAACGCATGGAATTGGTTTAGGTCCGAGACATCGGTGCAGCAGTGAACTCTCCCTTGGACATCACTCCTCCCGAATTCCTGTATTGCCAAAGAGACGGGGTTTGTCCCGTCCCAGGCACGCGTCATTTCCTGCATTCATAACTGCACTTTTCACACAGGGACTTTCTGACCATGCTATTTGCTCATTTATTAACTTTGTTTCCTCATTATTTTTGTTTGAATCAGTCCTCTGCATCTCTGTTGGGATCCTGGGAGTGCTGTTTTTCACTTTGCCCTTACCTTCTCCCTTCTGCAAGCCCTGTTCATCCACACTGCACCCTCAGCCTTGCGCTGGCTGCGTCCAGTTTCTCAGAGACTCCTCCTGTTCCAGCCAGCATCCAAAATCGAGGTTGCAGTTGAGAGAAAATGTTTTCCTCAGGACAAAGTGCACTGCCTGTATAGCATTCGTATCATCAGCAGGCGCTTAGGCTAGGAAACAGAATCTCAGACTGGAAAATTCCCTGCCATGAGGTATTTTATTGTTCATGTCTCTTACAGTCTCGCAAAATCTGCTGCTTGGAAGTCCAGGTGGTTGAGAAGAAGAAGAAGAAGAAAAAGGAGAAGAAATCTTTATCAAGTGAGGTTATTTCTCCATCAGCTGTTTTTCAATCATGATGTGCTAATATTATGAAGGCAATTGGCTTAACGTAAGAATGAAAAAAGCCCCAACAAATCTGAAAAATGAGAACAGCCTTGTGATAGAGTCTGTAAGAACCTTTGTTTCCAATTTTGATGAGAAAACTACTCTGCGTCTGCTTTTGTATTGCTTCCTTAGGGAAAGAATTCTCCTTTAAAGTGCAAGGCTCTTATGAAGGCACCCAAGGCATTATGCTGGGATCTGATCTGGTCTTCAGTTCCTCCTCTCCTGCCAAATTCCACTATGCCAGATACAAGCAGCCAACACTGGATGTTACGCTACCAGGGAAGAAACGACCTCCCTCCTTTGTATGTTATAACCGGACTTTATAAAACAAAATAATGGCATGTAAAGTAACATGCACCATAAATAGTAACATTAATTTGCATTGTGGAAAGAGAGTAACATTCCTTACAATATAAACTTGGATATATTTGTATTTTTTCAGCGCTCCCGTGTGTATGATACAGGCTGTCCAAACGTGCAACTTCATTCCCTTCCAAGTGGAAAAAACATGATCTTAGCAGAGGTGAGTGCCTGCTCTTTTGTGGGAGAGGTTGAGAAACCTGAGTGTGAAAGTCTGCATCCCCCTGATGATTACCAGGGTACTTTCTGATGGTGAAAGCCTGCAGACAAAAATGCCAGGTTGTGCCTTGTTCTGTTTGAATGGGTGTGGGAATACAGGGGATCTTGTTGCTCCATCCTGATCTTACTTCATGCTAAATTTTGGGCTCTGCTTTTTCTCTTCTCACGCACCAGTGGGGCACCTGAACTAACTGAAGTAGCGCCAGTCTCTTGCTGATGCTGACCATGCTTTGCAAAGCACTTTTAGATTCATGTTTAAAAAAATCCACACAGAATGAAAGGATCACGGCTGTTGTAGGTTATAAGCCACAGAAAGGGAGGAGCAAATGCTGCTGTGCAGAATAGTAGTGTGGCTGCAGCCTGGCTGGCTGCCTAAGAGAGGTAATGTTAGTAGAGATGGGTAAGGTATGCATTATCACTACTTTCCTCTGTAACCATCAGTTGTCCTCAGACGTTACATTCACTAGAAAACATTGGGAATTACTGAACAACTTCCCTGACGATAAACCACTGCAGTCAATTCATATATGCTGCTGGAATATTCAGAGCTCCTGATTTGTACCTGCATTGCTAGGACGGCACAAGCTAAAATTCCTCCTGGGGCTGCAGGGGAGGAGTGCTAAAGCAGGTTGTCATGCTTACACTGTTTGCATTCTTGTTTTCCAGGATAAAGGATTTGATTTATATATGAAGGCAGAAGACTGGTAAGAGACTTGGCCACTCTTGGAGGCTAACTTGTCCTTAGCTGAACTCGTCTCACCCTTGGCTCTTTACTAGGGAGGAGGCACTCACAGTAGGACAGTAGGTTGTGTGACCAAGTGATGTGGAATTCACATGAGCTGAAAGCAAACTATATGTGTAAAATTAACAATACATGTAGATAATCCATACTGAGACATGAATAATGAAAAAGATGTATAAAATAGAAGAAATAATATTACAAGCCAATTATGCTAGTCGGTGTTATGCTCAGCACAGTCTTTAACTTTTTCTTTAACACGATGTAAGAGTGCAGCTGATCACCTGGTACTGTTGATCATGAAGTAGATAAATTTTGCTGCCTACTTCAAGAAAAATGTGAGAAGTTTTTCCTACAGGTCTCAGTGCAGGCTGAAGTATGAGAGAATCCAGACAGCAGATGTCTCAGAAATTATCTGCAGGAATGTCTTCGTTTTCTTTTGATAACTGCTTAGAAATTTAGTAGTCCCTTTTTTTATCATTCTTTCATGCAGCATTGTATACGTGTTTGGGAGTGTAGGAAAGGCTCCTCCTGTAAATGTGGTACTTTGTGGATCTGGTTTATTTCCTTGTATTGGAAACTCTGAGCTTGTCTACCAATAATAAAATGGAATATTCTTTTTTCCTGATCTCTGCTCCAGCCCAGACCACCTTGATGTGCGTTTAGGGTTTGACCTCTGCGTGCAGGAGCAAGACTTTCTATGCAAAAGGCAGAAGTATGTTGCTCCTGCTCTGAAGAAGGTCCTGCAGCTGGAACAGGATCTGCTGGACCATGAGGTCTGTAGGGCAAACATTCAAAACATCTAATGAGCGCTTAGCAGTGAGGGCATAACAGCATAATATGACCTCTTTTTTTCCCCAGTTAAATTTTTTTCTGGTGTTTCCTCATCTTTAAACTTATGCACACTTCCAATACTGCCCCATACCTCTAATCTCACCCTGCAGTTTGTGTCCTTTGCAGTTGCTATCCTGAGTTTAACTCTTCTCCTGCCACACCTTCATTGCAAGTCAGGCTAGATATTCCTTGTATAGAAATGGCTTCTTCCACGGTCTTTACCCTATGATTGTTATCCTTGTTGATAACCCTTCCTCCTCTCTTCGACCTGTGAGACTTCTTTTTATTTCCTGCCTTTACAACTGATTCTTTCTCTCTTGCTCCCTTTTGGTTTTAATTAATGCATTTTCATTTGTTTTTTACCAAACATCTATGTTGAACACATTGGAGACAAGTGTCAGCTATCTAAGCAAAAATTGTCATTACTTTTATTCCTGTTCTCCTTTAGAAAATAAATGGTAGCTTATGTTTCAGTAGAAATCGTTTGGAAAGAAATCTGTGTCTGGGCACGTGTGGTGGTGTCAGGCTTTGTGTAGTAGGAGGTCTCTGCTGAGAGCCACAGTCAGCTGCCGTCCGCTGTCTGATGCCAGTCCTTTCTGTTTGTGTGTTGCACAGACCCCAGTGGTGGCCATCATGACTACGGGAGGAGGGATGAGATCTTTGACCGCGCTGTATGGCAGTCTGCGGGGGCTCAAGAAACTCAATGTCTTGGACTGTGCCACGTACCTGACTGGCTTGTCTGGTACTACATGGTAAGTAGGACTGAGCAGCTCTTGGCTGGAGTCTTCCTGATGACACCAATGCACTGAAGTGGGCTGGGGCTGACATTCAGTAGTCTACCTATGATACCTTCTCAGCTGTCCTATTTTTTTGATCTTCTTCCAAAATTGACAGATTAAAGTCTTTTCATGGGGGAAAGTCACATAATTTGCAACAGCATGAAAACAAGTGTTTTTCTAAGAACGGCTTATGGAAAATTGCTCAAGTCATTTTGACAGGGATAATGACTGTGACTTCAAAGGGAACATAATAGTTTCTTAGGGAACTGAAGACAGGAAACCTTTACTTAATTTCAAATCAAGAAATTAAAATAGAAACATAAAATGTAGCCATTGCCTGCTTCAAACCTTGGTGTGTTTTTTTCCCTCTTCAATATATATTTCCTCTTCCTAGGACCATGTCAAACTTGTACAGAGATGCTGACTGGTCACAAAAGGATCTCGACGAGCAAATCAGCGAGGCTCAAAAACATATGACAAAATGCAAAATAAATTCCCTTTCCTTGCAGTATTTGAAGTATTACAAAAAGCAGCTGTGTCAACGGAAAAGAGAGGGCCGCAAAACATCTTTTATAGATCTCTGGGGGCTTGTCCTGGAATCTTTGTTGCATGATGGGGTACAGTATGTCATAAAGCAGCATTTACAGTGGCTTACAATTTTCTGAAAATTAATTTCTGGAGAAGACATGTTCCTGTTTGTTCTGAGAGAAGTAGTTTGCTATGAGACTGTGTGTATGCAAATGCACAGCCATTTCCAAAACATTTGGTGGCAGTCTTTTAGATATCCAACCATAGTGGAAATCAGCATTCTTGCTTGTGAGATTTAGGATATGTTTTTCTGATAAAACTCCAAGATTACCATTTTGAAAAAATATTATATTTTAAGACTTTTTTTGGCATAGTCTGCAAGTATTTTATTTATTAATTATAATTATTAATAATTATTATTTAATTATTATATTTATTAATAGCAAAATTGCGGACATTCTCTTAATGCCCATGAGAGCTATTAACAAACGGACCTGCAGACTTTTGAAATATGTGAGAGGTCTTACATAAACTTGCAGCATAACACGTTAAGCTGGTTTATACCAAAAGTATTGCTTTCTGCTCTTCATCATTTCCTTCCATTTTCATCCTAATGGGTCATCAAATAATCTGGCATCACATTGGATGCCTGCAGATATTTCAGTAACAGAACGCTTACAGGAATTTTGAAAAATACGGAGTATTTCAGAATTTAAGCCCAGCACGCATTATACATTAGAGGCAGAAATTTTTCTGCCCTACAAGCTTAGATGCAGAGAAAACGTTCCTTGCTAATTTTCGTCTCAGTGTAACCATATTTCTGGAATTACAGAAAGACAACCACAGACTCTCTGATCAGCAACGCGCTATTGATCGTGGTCAGAACCCATTGCCTATCTATACTGCTGTCAATGTCAAGAACAACTATAGCACTCTGGATTTCAAAGGTAATTATGAGACATCTGAGAGTCATTTATCTTCGTACTTAAGCTGGTAAATCCTGGGACAGTCTTTTTACATAGTCTAAAAAAAGTCCTCTCCTTTAAAGACCAGAACCTCAGCTAATGTGTATTCGTATAATGTCCTTGTGGTCAGGTAAAAGTTTGACTGCCTATGCAACAGACTCAAAAATATTCCAAAGGCTTTTCATGTTCATGAGTTTTCATTTTACCATGCTCATAACTCATTGCTATTGGTCTTAACTATTAGACTTAACTGCAGAAATTATTTTAATTTTTAACTCCTTTCATTCCCATGATAGCAACATCATTTTTATCTACAGCTAAGGGGTTGTAGTAACACATTGTTCTCTTTGTGTTCCTTTCCACAGAATGGGTGGAGTTCACCCCTTATGAGGTGGGATTGCAAAAATATGGAGCTTTTGTTCGCGTTGAGGATTTTGGCAGTGAGTTCTTCATGGGTCGGTTGATGAAGAAGGTCCCTGAATCCCGGATCTGCTTCTTAGAAGGTAAGCTCTTAAAAACATCTGAATGTTTTTTTTTTTTTTTTTTTTTAAATTATGAGCTATATAAACTAAGCACTAATAAAGCACTGGTGCATGACTGACAGGGCAGTTTCACTGGAGAGGATAAATATGTCTTCACTGAATTAATACTTAACTATATTTGATACAGTTTACAGTAAAAAAGAAAATTCAAAGTGACAGGTAGTTATTTTCATTTTTAAAGATAGTTTTGAATAAAAATATAGTATCGTTTCCAGTCCAACAATAAAATTCAGGTCTCTGGGAATCCATGGTTCTGCTCATGCTACTCCAGAAGGGTGAACTCCAGAGCCTCTTGCCTGTCTCACAGGTAGTCAGTAATGTGTGTGCTTCCTATGGACAGTTTACATGAGCCTTCATGCTGATACTCCACTGCATCGGGGTGTGTTTGAGCATGCCAGGTCCCCCCTGCTCCAGAGAGTCTGCTTTGGCCACTGGCTCCAGTTTCCACATTGCCTGGGCAAGCCTGGGGAGAAAACAGCATAGTCATATCCAGAAGCATTTTTCCTAGTGACTGAAGTGGAGAATGGATACGTGTTTTCCAGACAAAGAGGCAAGCAGTCAACTTGTGACTGGTTCGAGATGCAAACTTCTCCTCGACTGGCCACTTCACTTAAGAGTGAGGGAGACACTGTAGTATTTTAGCCTAAGCTTATGCTGGATATGCATACATTTGCACTTCCTGAACCAAAAACCAGTGAGAACTTGTGCCCTAGGGGATAACCAAAGACATTGTTTCTCAAGCTCAAAAATGCATGGTCAAAACTGATCCCTCAGTGTGTTAACAGGCTTATTCTCAAAAAGGGAAGCCTACAAATGCAGAGGCTGTAAGATCACGTTTTAATATAATATCAATATAATTCCCCGTCAAATATCTCAGATTGCAAACTTTCATCCTTTCTTTTTATACAAGCCTTCTGATATTTGGGTTTTTTTCTGAAAATCCATGCTCCTTAAATCATATTAATTCACAAAAGTCTTACCATTCATTAAAATATATATCCAGCCCTAAGTACCATAAGACAAAAACTGGATACCAAAATGAGGTTTAAAAACCAGCAGCCAAATAAAAATGACACATCATCCATTTAAAACAAACTAAGGAAAAGCATAAACCTCGCAAATTTCATCTCATGATAACAGTTTTGCGATGCATGATGTGTGAATGTTTGAGTTAGAAAGCCCTTTCCTTTTACAGGCATGTGGAGTAGTTTATTTTCATTGAATGTGTTATATATCTGGAATTTGTCCCATTCTTCAGAAGATTTCTGGCACAGGTGGACCCAGGACAAAATCGACAATATAGGTAAATTATCATACTTCTTCCTTACTGTGAATTTATTGTTAGATAGAGTTTATGTTAGATAAACCATCACACTCATCTGCTATGTGAGATGTGCACAGTATATTTGGCATTTTTTGGAGTGTTTCTTCAAAAGCCACATTGCCTTTCTGGAAGGAAGTGGATTCAAAGTCTCATACTGCAAAGCATAATTGGATAATTTAAAAATCTCCAGTCCTGTGATCTATGTGCTCACTGAGGGCTCAGCACTGATGTTGGCAGATGAGTTAAAATGTTGAGGAATAATAAGATTGATCTGTAAATGATTAATAAAGCAAAAATATTTTGACTACATTAAGTAGGAGCTACTGTAATACAAATAAGTACAACAGTTATCCTTTTCCAAAGCCTGCGTTCAGTCTGTTCCACAAGTGTGCATATGTCTGGTGCAGATTTTTATTGCTGTCTGATACTGGGTCTTGTTTTTTATCCAAATCTGGACTGTGTAAGGAAATGGTATTTGGCTGGTAAGAGTAACATTTTAGTTTTGTTTTCATTTGGTCACTTGTGTTCATTGAGTCTTTTCATCCTAGGCCTTTTAAATAAAGAAAATCCTGGTATTTATTACTTACTTTGAGATCTTGGGGGATAACCTTGCTCTAGGCAGGTAGAATTTAACAGCCTTTCCCTGTGCAGAGGAGGAACCCCTCCTACCGCTGAAGCCACACGAGCTGAGGACTCGCCTGTTCACCCCTCCCGGCCCCCTCGGCAGTGCTCTTCGGGGCGCTCTTTCTGACCGCCTCTGCGTTGCCCAGGAGCACAACTTCCTAAAGGGTTTCCAGATGCATAATAACTACCTGGAGAACAAGCACTTCTGCAGATGGAAAGGTAATAGAAGACCTGTATGCCTGGGGAGAGAATAAACAAGCAGAACAAAATGAAAACCCAGATTTGATATTAAACCCATTCTTCAAGGTTAGAGGCCATGTTTGGGCAGAATCACTATTAGATCAATCAGTTGTGGCACACCGGGATGTAGCACGGCGTGGTGTTGAGCTCCATGCCAATAGTTTGCTGGTGGCACACACCTCCTGAGGCAGGGACACTAGGTCTTGATGGTGGTCCTCCCTTTCTCTGTTTGAAGACACTCGGTGGGGAGGCACAAGAAACCCACTTCATGAATGTTGCCACTGCAGGTCCAAAACTGCATGTGGCTGGAGTTGGGAGGGCAGAAGAGAAGGGATACAGCGAATCCCCCTTCCCCGAAGACGGTAATCAGTTAGGGCTCAGTGGTCATGGTGTAAGAGTGGAAAACAGTCTAACCAGTTTTGTGCTATTGCACTTACAGCAAGAAATATCTTTCCTTTTAGATACTGTGTTAGACACATTTCCCAACCAGCTGACACAATCAGAGGAATTCCTGTCTCTGGTAGATACGGGATTTTTCATCAATACAAGCATCATGCCACTTTTAAAACCAGAGAGAAAGGTGGATGTCATCCTGCATTTAAATTACAGTGCTGGATCCCAGATACAGGTGAGAGGAATTGAAGCAGTCTCTATTTCTTCTTCAACAGCTGTATATCTGGAAGTTTTTAACACTTAGGTGCTTTCTATATTGTTCCTAAAAGTCTTAACCGCTAGCATTTTTAGCTTAATGCTTCAGTGTGATACTTCATTTATAGGCTGTACATATTCTCATTTGTTTTTCTTGTATGATACAACTGTTTTGTGCTAAGAACTCAGGGAAAACAAAAACCTTCTCTCCACTGATGCAGTGCTTTCCAGTAGGGGTTTCAGAGCTTTCACACAGCTAGCTTGGAAAATGCTCCCTTTGTTACTGGACTCCAAGAAATCCTGAGCCCTGAAATCCTCTTTAAGTCTTAGTACTGTTCTGTTCATTGATCCAGGCTCTGGACCAGACCTGCAAGTACTGCTCGGAGCAGGGAATTCTTTTTCCCAGGGTCGACTTGAGTGAAGAAGACAGGAAAAACCTGAAGGAGTGTTACCTCTTTGATAGTGCTGAGTCTCCAGGAGCACCAGTGCTGCTATTTTTCCCACTAATTAATGATACCTTCCAAAAATACAAAGCACCAGGTAAGTAATCAAGCATGTCAGAAAAAGGCTGACATCATGGCCAGCCTATTAAAGGGAGTATATTTAATACTCCAACACTTAAACTTCACCGTTGGCTCATTTCAATACATCAAACCTCTCTGTTGCTTAAAGCTACTTGTTCTACCAAGTCAGATTTGCTGTCATGGCAGTCCTGTTTCAATCCCCAAGCTAGTTAGTTTGCAGGTAACTTTGATGTACCTATGTGAGCCACAGGTACAGCTCAGAACTGCAGTATAGACCCATGTAAGAGGAATAATCACCATTTTTCTCCCCACATCATGTGAAGCAGCTGATATCCACCTAAACCAGGGACTGAGCTGTCAGTTTGAAAAATAATTATTTGTTTAAAAAATAGTTTTAAAAACCCACAAGAGTAGCTTAGATTATGAACTCTCTCTGTAGAGAGACATCTCCTTTCCATGCTCTGTTAAGATTTGGCTTGCTTATGACCAGAGTAACTCCCATCTCTCAGCAGTGATTTGTCTCCCCTTCCTCCTAGGTCAGATGCGCTCGGAGTCAGAGATGGAAGATGGCAAAGTTGATCTCTATGGCTGCTGTTCCCCTTATTCAACATATTCAATTCAATACACTGAGAAGGCATATGACCGTCTGGTTCGGCTGGGTGAATACAACATCCTGAATAATGAGGACCTCATTTTGCAGGCCTTGCACACAGCAGTGGCACGGAAGAGGCAGAAAAGGAAATAATGTCAGACAAGGGAGGATGCTTTTGTGTCCCTTAACCCACCAAGAGACTGAAGATCCCTTATGATCGTCCGGCAGGCTTCAAAGGATTCCTGCTCAACCCCACTTAATGGCAATCTCAGATGAACAAAGAAGACACTGAAGAGAAACTTTTTTATCCAAAGAATTTCACTGCAGCAATTCATTGCAATTCAGCTACGACAGTGGAGTACAATTCATTATATGGTACAGACAATGGGCAGCCATGAGGAAGAAGGTGCTAAGATGATCATGAGCATGGTGCTAGTTGCCTTGAGAAAGAGTTTGAAATGTTTAAGTCTAACATGTTCAGGGCAGACCACATTAAAAGCATATTTTATTAACATGACTTGTGATTTGTGTTTGCGAGGTGGTGGTGAGGCAAGCAGCAGCCTGTGGGCCAGGTTTGTTACTGAGACTGTGGCCCATTGTAGGCAAGTGTTTAGAGAAAGGCAGGCACATGTCATATGGCATCCTGTGGGCACAGATCACCTCCAAGGGTGGCTTTGGGCAGAGGAGGCACAGGCCATGGGTACCAGACCAACCAAGAAAGCAAAAGAGTGTTGATGAAGTTCTCCACTGCTTGGCCACCAAGCTCCTCTGTGTGCTTCCTTGCTGCTTCTTGGTTAACAGTCCCTCTTCCCACTCCTGGTATGAGCGGTAGCAGCATAGTGACTAGAAATACAAGCTGAAGAGAACAAGACTCTGCTGGCTTTAATACCCCTCAAAACAAGAGCAAGGATGTGCAGGTCCTTGAATTCATTAGCTCCACCTACCCTCGCTGTTGGCTGGGTCTCGCATGAGCTCAGCTCCTGCAGAACTAAGAGGCACCCACATGTGAGGAAAAGGGCTTTACATGGTCTCAGTGCAAGAAGGAAGATTCTGTGTTTTGCAGTAGAGCACCTAAAGAGGATATCCTGCTCCAGGAATGCTATTTTTTTTTCCTCTTGAGACAGCAAACATTTATGTTACCTCTACTGTTGCTGTGAGCCTTGTGTCATCTGTGAAGATGACAAGAAAGGTGCAGACCTATAGAGATCCCTGGAAGCTCTGGGAAGGTATGCTATAGCAAGTACATCCTTCTGCATGGCAAGCTGCTGCAGGAGGATCTGTGCCTCCTGAGGTGTAATTTCTTTTAGACTGGCTCTGCACCAAACCCAGCACCAACATGCACATACATGCCATAATTTGCCCATTTGGGCCAAACGTACCATGATGAGAGGTTGCCTAATCTAGGCTTCTGTCACTGTTCCCAGGAGGAAAGAGATGGAGGAGTACTTTGCTTGCACCCATAGCAAAGATCCTCCAGCTCCTCTTGCATGCCTCACTGCTCGATTCGTTCCCTAGGGTTAAGATGCTTTACTTGTTCATTTGGAAAAAAAAAAAAAAAAGTAGAGAAATCAAGAGATTAAAAACCATGCAAACCTGGATCACACAGTCATAGCAAAATGAGTACTCAAGAGTATTTCTTTCCAAACACACAAATAAGCTCATTTTGATTAAGTTCCTTGTAGATAACCCATGTTCTAGGTTGAATTAGTAACACAAACAACACTAATACTTTACAGAACAAATGAGTTATTTTATGTTTCTCCTGGAGCATTCACTTCTCAGTTACTAACAGATGGTAGAATTCCCTAATTCTTCGTAGGTATCTGTTTTATTAACCGAAGTAATATTGAAAACATTAATAAAAATCAGACCAACAGGTGATGTTTACAGCATGTGACAAATCTCTCAAAATAAGTAAAGCCTACTCAACATATGCATGATTTCTTTTTTCTTACTCTGTAGTAATTTGGGAAGATTAGGTTGGAAGATGAGAATACAAATTCTTAATAGAAGATTTTGATTCTCCCAGACCACCTATTATGAATTATCAGTGACTTTTCAAGCATACTAATTTTGAATACATAAACATACTAGTGAAAAAAGTCAATTATGTGTTTAATTGCTTTCCACTCATAACTGTTCATAATCCATGTTTTCTATTTTGCCCCTTCTCTGGCTAATTTTCAACGTGTTTAATAATGTAAAGGTGTGTTGAGTTTCTCAGTGTATGTAACAGTACAGCATCTACAATTTGTAGCCTACTAAAACCACCTGTGGTTATACTTCAATGTTAAAATTCTTTGGATTGCAGAAGGACTCCGTATTGGGTTTACATGGCGAGGTTTTGGTAGCAGTGTGGGGTGCTGCTGGGTGCCCTCTGTGGCTTCCAGCCACATTTCAAGGCTCATGTGCAGGATTTTATCTCTACTTTCCAAATGAGTAGACAAAGGTATCTGCAGTGTGCTTGGCTGAGTCATGTCACTCTGAAGCTTTAAATAGCATCATTAGAGCCTGGTAGAGGGAGCAGGACACAGGGTTTCTGTAATGTCACACCAGCCAAGGACAAAAGTGCTCTGTGCAGCTCTCTATTTTAAAATACAGGGGAGAAGGAGTGCCAGTGGCTGGGAGGGTTGTCTGTGAAATGCCTGCCTTGTTCCTGTAAGGGAGCTCTCTGGATATAGTCACACTTTTATTTCTGTACTGCTGAAAAGTTCTAGCTTTAACAGTGTGGTTTGTCGAGGGTAGATTCTCAGAAGATATTTTTTGTGGATTATGGACAGGTTCTCTGGCTCTCAGATCTTCTTCACTTTGCAATTATCCTTCCAGAATGAAACTCTGAGAGTTGGTCTTCTTGTAGTCAGCCTGAACTGATTTTCTCATGACCAGTTCACTTTCTTTGCACAGTCAATGTGAACCTCTCAAGGGGTGGTTCTTATGGCTACAAACAGGCCAGCAGTAATTTCCTTTCAGAGTATCACCAGTGCCCCCCGCTTCAGCCATTCACACATCAGTGGGGAGCTGGGGTGTCTCCCACGTGGTTTTGTGCTTGACCTTTCTTCTAGGATGCCCCCACAATTGATAGGCTCTTTTAAATGACTATGGTCATTTATAAAATGTCTCATTTTAGACATTTTCTGGTGCATGGTTTTGCTCAGTTGGGCCTAACTCAAGATTCAACAATCCTGAAGGAGGCTTCTTACACCTTTCACATGTGAAACCAAAACAGGAGGTTCAGCAAGGAGCAGCAGCAGGCTGCAGCAAATAGGACTGGGAGGCCTCAGGAGAGGTGAGGAAGGACTATGAAGCTCTAGAGGCTAAAGCTAAGCCTGGAGGGATAGTTAGGTTGTTTGGATCCTTTGCCTTTGCAATCCTTGTTTACAAGTACATAATGATAAGCTTTAGCCAAATGTTGAGGGACAGTTTTCTGGGGCATGGTTTTCCCACTGTTGCTTGCTAAATGGGCCTACCAGCTTGCACTTCTTTAATCAGTCCATTTTATAACACTGTACAGAGCTCTTGAATTGTTGAGCTCTGATTAGCTCCTATTAGGCTGTGGAAGAACAAAGAAAAATAGTGAATACAGTTTTGTATTTGTACTAGATTATTCATCTTATTTCTTCCTATAGACTTATAAAAGCCAGAATCAAATCATCCTGTTTGACTTGTTAGATGTCAGACCTGTTACCTGCCATGCAGTTACTTAAACGTTAATCCTGATCACCTGTGGCTGACCAAAGTCTATCTTGAAGAAAAATGACCCCTCTTCTTTTAAAGATATCAGGAATGGTGAAGTCACATTTCATAGAAGTATGTTCTAGTGGGTGATCATCTTCCAGCAATAAGTATGCACCTTGTTTCCAGTCTCATTTAGTTTGGCCAGAGCCCAGACATTAATTCTTGTTAAATCTTTTCCTATTAACGTAAAAACCATTGCATCACCATTGTTTCTTCATTAGTGTTGATTTTATAAAATATACCAAGGTTACATCACAGTCGTCTTCTCATCAAACCAGTAGATTCAACCCTTCAAGTTTGCGTTATAAAAAAATCTTTATTTGCTAGATCCAGCTGTAGCTCTGTTCTTGCACTCCCTCCCTCGTTGTCCCTTTATAAAATGCACACTCCAGTCTGTTTCCCAATATTTCTATATACGGAGATGAACATTGCCTTGTTATTCTTATATTCTTACATATAAATGACTTCCCAGTTTCCATATGCAGAATCCAGTTGTCCTCATTTACCATTAGAGAATTCTGCTGAGTTGCTTGTCTTCTACAAGCTGGTGAGTTGCTGTTTGCCACACTACAGTCTTCCCTTTCTTAAGGGGGAGTAAATTATAACATACGTTTGTCATTCCTTTAATCATAACTTCACACTTCAGTGTGTTAGAATTAACTGTGGTTAATCAGGCCAGTTTATCAAGCAGGTCAGATTGTTCTGTATGATTGCCCTGTCCTCAGTATTACTCAGCACTCCACCAATCTTTGTTCTACTGCAAATTTGGCCAGTCAGGATGTCATGCTTATTTCCAAATCACTCATCAAAATGTTGAATAGAGTTTGAGACCAGTAAACTCTTAAAAATTCCTCAGAAGAAAACCTTTTTCAGTGATGTTTCTCACTGAGGACTAATTCTGAAATCAGTTAGCTAACAAATTCTTAAACTTAGTAATATATACTTTTTTTCAGTCTTTGCATAACGAAATCTTACTATCTTTGCACAATAGACTATAAGTAAAAAACCTGCAATTGCAGCATAGAACAAATTTACTAAAAAACCCCACTATTTTATACTGACTGGCTTCCAGAAGGTAGCTCAGGGCTTACCAAAACTGCTCATCACCTTACAGGGAACCTCTGGCTAATGCTAACCCCAGAAAGTTTTATTTTCCATGCAGCTGTATTGCATCATCATTTTACTATCCCATGAACCTTCCTGGTGGAACACCCTGTAATTGCTTTAACATCCTTTACAGCTTTATTGCACTCTGGTCACTGAAAGACAGCTCCAGTACCCTGGTTTGCAAGATCAATGCATCCACAGGAACAGCACACTTCAGTTTGGCAGTATATTGGCATCACCTCTAGTACATACCTAAGATAAGGAAATTAAAGAAGAATTTCTGTGCATAATCCAAATATAAGTAAGACTTT